AATCATGCCAGTGTCGGAAACCACCACTAAGTTTGCTCGCATTACGGAAGCTATTTTCTTAACCATCATGGCTACCCGTCCTACGTGTCACATTGTCATCACTGTCTGCCGACCACCAGGGCCAAACCCAATCGCTGACACTTATTTTTTGGAGCAGTTGGACACATTTTCCAGTTGACCCAACATCATGACCATGAGTGACTTTAGTGCACCAGGACCACACTCCAAGCGTCAGACCCAAAATCGGCGTTCGACTACGGTTTTCTGAACAAAACATTAAAAGCGCTCCTCACAAAACATGCAAAGTTTCCAACGAATACACGTGACGGAAAAAAACCAACTGTCCGGATTTACTTTTTACGAAGGTATTAGACAGCACAGACGAAGTTAACTCCATGCCGCCTCTCGGCCGAAGTGACTATGTAATGCTTATGTGGGATTATTCGTTATTCTCCATTTTTCATACTCCAGATCAAAAAAGGCACAACATTTGGCGGGGCGACTTCGGTCGGATGGCGGCAGACTTATCAGGTCTCGACGGGATAATGGCAACGATGATTGAGATTTGTTTAAGAATGTCCTTCTGCTGCTCATCAACAATCACTGCTCACTGACGAGTGTAAGACAGAGCAAGCGGCCTGGGTGAATAAACGGCAAAGTAACGAAAGAAGTTAGCGGGAAGCACAAATTGTGGAAAAAATACTGCGTCACTGGGCAACTTGGATATTTAAAAACCTACAAGACACGAAAAAGCAAATTGAGAAGCATGCTTATAAGGACGCGCCGACAATTGGAGAAAAAACTGCTACGAAAGGCAACGGAGAACGCAAAATTGCTCTTTAGTTACTTCAAACGAAGTACAAGGAAGACACCCCTTTAATAAAAACTACCGATGGCGTTGATATTGCCGATAGCAGGGATCAAGCTGCGTATTTTTTACAAGTTTTCCAATCAGTCTACACAAACGAGGCAATGTTCCTTCCTCAATCCACAGAAGAACTGCCGACTCCAAGCAAAAGTAATATATTCTTATCAGAAGGTGTTGTCCAAAGAAAATTAGACACACTGAGCGAATCGATGTCTTCAGAGCCAGACGAGATTCCACCGAAGCTTCTCAATGAACTTACCAATAAGCTTTATGTGCCTTTGTCGATGCTCTTTCAAGCGTTATTTTACGCAGGAACACTTCCTATCGATAAAAAACTGGCGCATATTACTCCGGTAAATAGTGGAGTTGGCATGGTATCGACGGAAAGTTAGAGCCTCCTAAGCCTGACATGCCTTCTCTGCAAAGTTATCGAGAGTCTCACGAAGAGTGAATTGATGCGATTCCTGGAAGTTCATGACTTGCTAGCGAACTGCGCACATAGGTTCCGGAAATGAAGATCCTACACGACAAACTTACTGCAATCTCCCCAGAGCTAGGCTCGGGCTCTGAACGACAAGCACGCAGTCCACATAGCTTTCATTGATTTCCAGAAGGCGTTTAACACAGTGCAACACCAGAGACTGTTGCGCAAACTGAACAAATATGGACTAGAGGTAACTTCCTCAAATGGATTGAAAGCTTCCTCGTGAGTCGACAGCAGGTTGTGTGCATCGGTCAAAAAAATCAGATACTGCTGTCCTTGGGAGTAGCGCTCCCCGGGGATTTGTACCCCGACCCATTGTGTTTCTGATATACTTGGACGATTGCGCATGAACTTCGGACTTCGAAATAGCAATGTTTGCAGACGGCATGAAGATATGGAGTGTCATTCTGGGTCCTGCCGACGAAGACAGACTGCAGATGCACCTGAGTCGGTTGGAAGAGTGAGCAAACCGTTGGCTTTTGCGGTTTAGCGTTGGTAAGTCTAGCATACTTCGCCTAGGCAAAACATCGAGGTCCGCCAGCACGAGAGACTACTTTCTGGGCAGCGCCGCTTTATGAGAATTCGAAGCGCAAAATAACCTCGGTGTGCTGACGACGACCCCTTTAATGCAATTTGCCCATTTTTCAAGACGGGCAAAGAATGCAGAGTATTTACTGTACGACATCAAGCATGCCATTATGGATTTTTACGAGGGTTCTTTCTCAAAGACATTCCGAAGACTCGTGAGACCGCACTTGGAATAGTGCATACAAGCATGGAGACCGTGAGCGGTTGAGGAATTCAATCTCGCAGCTGGAAATTTGTAACAATGTCTCCGAAATCAGAGAGAAAGAACGTCTATTTATTTTGGAATACAAATTCAAAATTTTCAGCAAAATGGGGCTTCATTCACTGCGGAAAATATATGAATTTACGAATGACTGAAGAGTCAAATTGGTTTACACCGAAAGGAAAAACCATTATGGGGATAATTCAAGACATCGTTTCTATATTTCTGTATTTTCACACGTAATTTCGTGTCAGAAATGGCAATACAAAATGCTAACATGTCGGCGTACGGCAAGAGATATTTCGAAAGTCATGGCGCATGGGGGGGGGGATTTCTCAGTGCTTAGTTCAGAATGTGGGGATTGGCAACGTCATCCAGAATTCGGCCAGCAGACCTCTTGACCGTTTTGGAATGTCGATGTACGATACTATCGACTAAAATGCATAAGAAAAACTGACAGCAGAATAGAGCCTTCGGAGGAATCGTTGTAAAATTAACATGCAGGAAAAATGACTGGAGAGCAGTTAAGAATGAGCCCTTGTCATAAAGTTGACTGTGTCCTCTAACTCACAGAAGAAGATAAATTTATACCGGCAAGGACACTGAAAGGACTTCTCGTATGCGGGTTCATCTACCTTAAATACGAACATTGAATATTCTAAGTACACGTCCAAAAAACTAACTAATCACTGGTCAGCATCACCGACCAATGAATAATGTCTGCTGCGCTTCGGCCTTGCAAAAATTTGTGTGGCAGGCTGTCTGGCTACTTCGTCGGTAGTCAGTCGCTGTTGTGTGCGTGCGGTTCCGCCCATTGTTGTGTGCTTGCTTTAGTGAGCCGGCGAGCATATAGGGATGTTTTTTTCTCGATAAAATTTACAATCTGGTAATAAGCCGTTGTTATGGTTGATTGCAATAACCTGTATTTCTCGTACATTCTTACTTAAAACTGCAGTCTGATGGCTACCCTACCAGCAGCGGCCCCGTCTGGAGCCGTCAATCCTCCGATCGGAAACACGAAAATTTTTCTACCAACTGGACGACCTTGTAATAAAGTGCCATTTTACCAATTGAATTGAGTGTTGCAACGTCACAGCGGCGGTAGAAAAGCGTCCTCCGTTGAGGTCGACGCTTTCGTTGCAGGCTTCGTTGCATGACAAGTATATGACCCATGAGACTTCTGCTAGAACAGAAATCGTTGGTATTTCTCCTTGCTCGCGCTTCACCGGATATAGTAAAATGGTCCAGTAAGATTCTCATGAAAATCTTTGCGGCGGCGTTGCTTAGACTGCTATCTCTGTATTTGAGGTATTTTCTCTGTTTTTGAAGAGTCAAGGGAAGGCAGCACAATTATTGTTCTGCCTGAGCCCTTCCAACCATGTAAAGCTGAAATTGGAGCAACTGTTGTAGCTTGCAGCTGACAGTCGGTCTTCACATGTGGTTCTGTTGTTTCGGAGATGTTAGATTACCGCTCATAATCGTTGTCTTTGGGGCTGCAATAAATTGTTCCTGGCAGTTCGGGTATCTCTCACCCAATGATGTGACAGAGAGAAGCTGCCGTCCTTTTGGTGGTTCAAACAGCCGCAGGATTATCCTTCAACTATTACCGTGTCCTGTTCTGCTGTATCTGTTTTGCCTAGCTCCCACTGACATTTGGATCTCTCGCGGTTCGGTTACTCCACGCATCATCTTGAATTGGATATTTCGATTGATATCTTGTTGTCGACGTTGAGTCTGTTTTGACCTGTTTGGGCAAACAAAGCTGCCACGATTACTTCCATAAACAGGGTTTATTCCTTATTCACGCAGGACAGTCGCGAGCTACTGTTTTCCCGAGAAATATGATGTGGTGGAGTTTCGCCGTACCTCGAGCCTTGGAACCTCACTTAGATGCAGACGGTCTAGCTCTCACAAGCGTGTAGTCCTCGCCTTGCCCGCTTGCCCTATCGACTCCACTCATCGAGCAGCGCTTGAGGATCGCACTCATTTTTTGCGTGCTCAAAGACTTCAGTCAGCCGATACTAGGCTTCCCCCGCCATTGAAATAGCAGTCCAACAGGTTTCTTTTCGAGTGTCAAAACCTAGTTTTAATCAATACTAACCTATTTTCTTCAGTGAAAGCAAGATTTCAATTATCACCCTTGCATAGATCACTGGCGGAAAGCTTTTCAGAGATGTGGCGCACTTTTGGAGTTTTTACCAGTGCGTTCGTTCCAGCATTTCCAACCTCACCTGGTGTAATCGCTGATGGGTCCTCGGGATGCCGTGCATTGCATAACGTGTATCCCCCCACATGGTTTCAACAAATTATGCAGGAGGGTTTCTGAATACCCTGAACACGCGTCGGTCGACATCTTTGTCTGATTTAAAATGCAAACCAGCTAGTCCATTTGTCTGACCAGCCACCGAGGACTAGATCCCTGCCTCTAACGGACTAGATTCTTTCGGAGGCTGTTCGAATCAGGCATACCCGGAGGCCGTTGCAACTGCGGTCGGTCTTTAGTTGTAGAAACGAGACTGGAACTGAAGAACAAAACGATACGTGCGAAATTGTCTGGCTATCTTAGCCGACAGCACTTTATATCTCGTGCGCTCGCATAAGACAATTTAGCTGTGCCAAAAGCAGCATATCATTCTTTTTGACCATACACATTCTAACACTTACTTTCGACCTTTCCACAGCTCTTCTAAATTGGGACGAAAAAAGTGACTTCCGTCCTTCTACACGTAAAGATCTTGGAGGCACGTACACTTATTACACGTTTTGAGAGAACTAAGCAATCTTGGAGCTTTTTTACACCGGATTTGACGAAGTGTGTGGAAGTTACCCCGAGAGTCGCTTATTCACGTCGTTTGGCAATGGGTTCGGTAGGTTACTTTATGCATTTACTTATGACTTCTTAGCTGGTCTAAATTTGCCAAAAATGTTAACTCTCTGACCTTTGGAGCCCTTAATATACATTACAAACGAACTTTTAGGAGAAAGCGCCATTTTGTCCCCGCCTTTACAGTTAATAAGTGGATTAACGGTGTCACAGAATCACCTTGTGTCGTCCCGACGAATAATTACGCTCATAGCTAGTTATTACAGAATGATTACCCGATGCGGTACTTGCACATCACGACTGAGGGGCATATCGATCTCCCAAATATTAAGTCTTAATAGTCACCATCGTCTCTAAGGCGGAGAGGCAGTCGAAGTAGCCCACTTGGAATCCTGGCCTTTATAAGCTCTGACAAAATATTGAGACTCCGTTCCCAGTCCCTAGGATGAATCTGATTATGCCTCTAAGCCCGTGATGATCTGCGACTCGCTCTCTGCTCCAGAAGAGACGACAATATTCGGGCACTAGGTCTTAAGCCGAACTCCTCGTCGCCTCCTGTTAGGTGACACCGGATTCGGAATGTCATAACTGGGCATTTGGAGCAGATGACTAAGAAAGTGCCTGCACCATCTCATCTGTTGTATTCGGATAACCTGGAGTATCCTCATGAGAACGCGGGAGGTCCAGGCGCCGCTTCCGTTTCTTAACGGTCTGTGTCGAGACACATTTTGAGTCGACCTCTCCGTCGACGCCCCATGGGGGCAACGGCGCCGAACCGACGGCAGAAACACCGAGCACATGGCACTGACGAGGAACAAAGTGCCCAAACCATCTTTGTAGTCATTGTGCACGATATCGCAGCGAGGGTGGACTGCCTCATTCGATTCAAAGTCCGTGTACTTCGTTGGATAGATGGTTCTCAGGCAGCAGCGATCAAGCACCTTCAGAATTTGCAACCGTAGAGGAGGACTGACGGGAAGGATTGGCGGCACTCGCTGATCTTTGTGGCGAGGAAGATTTCGCCTCAGGCACATAGGCTTTTTCTAAGGGTTCTGAAAACCCAGCAAGCAGCATCGATTCGGAAGACGATGTCTTTCCCCCCTCCCCCCCCATTCGGCAGCAGGCCCGCTCTAAGGTATTTAAAACTACTAGTTTCAGATTGAACTCCAATATTCCCGATGGGTGTCTTCGCTCGGTCAGGGATGCAGTTCGAAAACACTCTGATCTTTCCAGCGTTTATGAATTAATTGACCGATTTAGCTTTTTCCTTCTACTGCGAAACCGCAGGTTGTAGGTCACCAAAACTAGGGATTCGCAGGGAGATATTGTAAGCACAGTGGAGATCAGTTAGCCGGCGTCTGAATGCAGGTCAAACACCGTGCAGCACCCAGAAAATCCAGTCAAGGACGTAGTTGGACAGAATATAAGCGGCAGGATGTGACTTTGTCAAACACCAAGTCGAGAATCGAGCCTTTGGTACAGATTGTCGAATACCAGAGTACGTCTTGCTCACGTAATAGTTTTTTTACCCGCACACGACCAAGTTCCATTACTCACCCTTCAAGCAGCATCGATTGGGGCAATGATGTCTTTTGGCAACAGCTTACACCCCCCTCCAGAAGCGACTTGGGATTATCTACTTCTTCAGTTTTACAGCCATTAATTACGACCGAGGCCTTCTGTTGAGAGGTGCAATTGGAAAATGTTCTGGTTATTGTAGTTTTTGCGGATTAATCAGTCGATTTACCGACCTAATTCACTTGAGCCTGCATCCTGTCGGTCATCGTAAATTGGTGTCGTCAGCGTAGTGGGGAATAGCCATTCAGTTTAACACATCTGTGAACTTGGACACACATTTCCGACCTAGAGAATTGAATGTGCTCCTGACAACGAAATCTCTGGCAGATGAAGACTGTTGAGCGCATTTAATAGTGGAGGTTTCCTGCAGTCTAATTAGTCCCTGGTCTTTGGTAAGGACTGTCGGATCTTCGGGGACTTAAACTCATTACGGCGTTTCAAATAGTCAGTCAACCAGAGTCAGTTTTTGCACTTTTTGCTCTACTTCAGGGATTTGAGTGGTCCGTTGTGGTTAAATTTAATAATTCACCTCTTTTTGCTTCTAAACAACTCTACCGAATTCTTTTCTTTTCCCATGACGCTGATTTTCACACAGGAAGCTAGTTCACCATTCGGAACACATTGTATTTTTTTGCTTCAGTTAGGGTCGCCAATGGGCTGTGGGGTATTTAGTGGGCAAGTTATCGTACCGGCCTTCGGTCCATCATTTCCCGGTAGTCTGCCACTACGTTTTCGTCAAACGAAGGTGTCGGCTTGCTTCGTAGCTGACCCAGCACACACCACCTGCTTAAAGGACGGGCCCGTTTTTACTGCATATTCTAAAGGCAGCCATACTTGCAGACAAATGAACCAGATGCGTGCTCGTCACTGGTCCTGTCAGACGGTTGTCAAGACGCCTGTGTTTTAGGATTTCATGGGTGACACTGGCCAGTAAAAGGATAAAATAACGGTTGCCGATGAGACGAATGAACAATTTCCGCAATACCCTCAGACATAAGTCTTAAACTGCTACCTACCCGTCCGCTGGCTAACAATACCTCTTTGAGTAAGCACCCTAGCGGGTGACAACTTGGCTTGTTCTATCCTTTTGTCAGCGTTACGACTGGTGTCCAGGCTTGGATCAACTCATGTGATTAACTTCACTCCACACCGTCTTCCATTCAGAATTAAACCTCGTTAACTTTTTACCCCAGTAGTGTCTCCCGTAGGAAGCGTTTTCTCCTTATGGAAATGGCATCTGTATCAGCAATCAGATATTCTTAAGCTTGCTGCTGTTCCTTGATCCTCAATGGTTTTTTGTTCGACTAAAGAAGTCTAAGAGGGGGCTTATTCTGTCTTTTCTATAGGTGGAACTATTCAGCAGTTACGAGGCCTTAAGCATTTCGGAACTCATTAAAAAGGAGTTGGACGAAAAGAATATAGACAATGCGGACTTCCTGGATCTTAGAGAAATCCATCATGATTTTACTCTGCCGGAATACCTAAAACGTTTAAGTCTTGTGGAAGTTTTGTCAGACAATGGAGGCAAGCGTTGTTTTTGTCCGGACAAGTCTCTTACGTTGTTTGGTGACAAAGTAGCCGCCAGTCCTACTCTTCAGATGGTTATTCAAAGGCAGCCAACCCTTGATGCAACACCGGTTTGTTTCGACCCCTGCAAACCATCGGGTCAATTTTCCGCGGTAACAATGTATCGAGGACAGTCTGACTCTTTCGGCCTACATTTCTGTATTGCGTACGGTGGAGTTTATGTCTGCTACGTCCAGGTGGGCTCACCAGCTGCTAAGGCAGGACTGCGTTTTCTCGATCAAATCACGCATATTGACGGTAAGGCCGTGACGGGCCTCAAGGTAAAAGAGGTCAAAGAACTTCTTAACAAAAAGACTAAATGCAAAATATTGAGGAAAGATCGGTGAGTGCGATTTTGTTTCTCCCCTTGCCTGTCACCGTCACTATCAATCTGTCGTTTTAAGCCTCTTAGTGAACACAGCGGCTTTTAGTATCCTTTGTCGTTTGTTAGAAAAAAATGCTTTCTGTATTTGCGTTGTTATCAGAGAACCCATTTAAGACAGTTCTCCAGCTCTTTTACCCAGAAAATTTCGAAGTGTTTCTCGAGTAACTAACGCGGTACCTGACCCACTTACGAACTGTCCTTTAGTTGA